TTTTTTTTTTTTTTTTCTTTTTTTTTCTTTTTCCTTCTTTTCATTTTCAGGAGGGTTTTCGCTGCTCCAAGCCGCTCTGTCCGACGGCGGATGCCACGGGCTCCCACGGACGGGGAGGTTCCCCACGGCGCTGCGCGATGGACGGGCTGGAGGGAACGGCCGGGACCGGGGCGGCCACGCGCGGGCCGGGGGCGACACCGGAGGTGGGGGGGGGGGGTCCCGCACACGCGTGGCCGCCCCGTCCAGCCGCGGAATAGGGGAAGGGGCGTGGCGAGGGGCGTGGTCTCCGCGCATCGCCCCGCCCCTCCGCCCAATGGGCGGCGGCGGCGGCGGCCACGTGGGGCGGGCCGCGCTCCGAGCCGGGCAAAATGTGAATGGGCGCGGGGGAGCGCGCGGGCAGAGCGCGGCGGCGCGCGGGCTCCGCGGGGGCGCACGGGCAGCGGCACCGGCACCGGCACCGGCACCGGCAGCGGCACCGGCACCGCGGGGCGAGCGGGCCCCGATGTGCGCGCGGCGGCCCCGGGCCGCGGCCCCGCTCCGCCCCGGCTCGGCCCCACGCGCGCCCGCTGCGCCGCGCTGAGGACGAGGAGGAGGAGGAAGAAGAGGAGGGAAGTGGTCGCTGTCGCTGTCGCCGCCGCCGCTCCGCCGGCCCGGCATGAGCGCGGCTTTCCAGCCCTCGCTGATGATGATGCAGCGCCCGCTGGGAAGCAGCACGGCCTTCAGCATCGACTCGCTCATCGGCAGCCCCCCGCCGCCCGCCCCGGGCCACTTCGTCTACACCGGCTACCCCATGTTCATGCCCTACCGGCCCGTGGTGCTGCCGCCGCCGCCGCCGCCGCCGCCCGCGCTGCCGCAGGGCGCGCTCCAGCCCGCGCTGCCTCCCGCGCACCCGCATCACCACCAGCTGCCCAGCCTGCCCAGCGGCTTCTGCTCCAGCCTGGCGCAGGGCATGGCCCTCACCTCCACCCTCATGGCCACGCTGCCCGGCACCTTCCCGGCCTCTCCCCAGCAGCACCAGGAGGCCGCCAGGAAGTTCGCGCCCGCGGGTAACTTCGACAAGGCCGACGGGCTGCCCCCGGACGGCGGCGGCGACGACGGCAAAGGCTTCCTGGGCAAGGAGGGCGCCCTGCTGCCCTTCCCCGCCGCCGACGCCGTCCAGGCCTCCCTGGGTGAGTGAGCGCCGCGACGCTGCGCGGGCCCCACCGCGGCCCTCCCGTTGCGCTGCCCCGACGGCGCGGCGGGGCCGGGGGAGCCGGGGCTGCCCCGCTGAGCGCGCCCGGGCCAGGGACACGCTCGCCTCGGCGGGGGAGGGGGACACGACCCGCAGCGCGGGGTGGGCAAGCGGCGCCTCGGCTCGAGGGGAGGGCAGCTGCGACGCTCTGCTGCTTAGCCCGGGAGCAAATGGGCCCAAATCGCGCAAATCGGGGGGAAAAAACGAATGGCAGCAGCAGCACAACAGGAGCAGACCCAGGGTGTCAGCTGCGCGGGCCGGGCTGCGGGGCGGCTGCTGCGAAGTAGTCACAAAACGGTACAGAAACGGTAACGAATCGCCTCTGCTTGCCTTCCAGCCGGGGCTCTCCGCGCGCAGAGCAAGGACGATGCCAAGGCGGAAGAGGATGCGAAAGGCAAGGAGGAAAGTTTCTCCATGGACAGCGATCTCGACTACAGCTCCGACGACAACGTCCCCGGGCAGGCGGCCCACAAGGAAGAGGACTCTGGCACGGCCCTGGAGGAGAACCCCCAGCACCCCCCCGGCTCCAGCAGCACCACCTCCACGGGCAAGAACCGGCGGCGGCGGACGGCCTTCACCAGCGAGCAGCTGCTGGAGCTGGAGAAGGAGTTTCACTGCAAAAAGTACCTGTCCCTGACGGAGCGGTCGCAGATCGCGCACGCCCTCAAACTCAGCGAAGTGCAGGTCAAAATCTGGTTCCAGAACCGGCGGGCCAAGTGGAAACGGGTCAAGGCGGGCAACGCCAACTCCAAGACGGGGGAGCCGTCCCGCAACCCCAAGATCGTGGTGCCCATCCCCGTGCACGTCAGCAGGTTCGCCATCAGAAGTCAGCACCAGCAGCTGGAGCAAGCCAGACCCTGAGCATCCCCCCCTGCTACCGCCCGCGGAGCTGCGAGGTTTGGTGCAAAAGTTTCCAGATGGGGAGGGTTCAACCTGCCTGCGCCCTCCCCAAAATAACAAGAACAAGAGAAGCAAACAATCCATCAACAATAAAACATCCCCATGCGCACACCGAAAATCCCAGCGAACTTTAAAGGGAAACTTTCCCCCTACAGAGAACCTGAAGGGAAGCGGCTTAAAACTGTGTTTTGCTTTGGAGCTGGGATACCGAACCCTGGAAGAGACACGCAGATATTTATTATTATTAAACCGCCCTACTTTGTACATACCGGTGCTTCCTCGTCTGCGACACCTTGGCTGCTGGGGGACCGAGGAAGCGGCCGAGCGGCAGCGCCGGATCCCGCAGCAAAACCTGCCTGCTCCCCCCGCCGCCGGCAGCGCCGTCGCCCCCGAACCCCGCAGCGCCCGTTTAGCCGTCCTGGGGGTTTGGTTCTTATCAGGGCGAAAGGTAAAGACAGAGAACGAACAAAACGAAACTAAGGGTTTAGTTTCTTGCCTTGGTTGTTATTTTATTTTATTTTGGATGGCCGAGTGGCAGGCACTGGGTGACATTTTTTTTAATATATTTTTTGCCTGGCTTTCTGTCGATTTGGTTTGCCTATTCTATCAAGCCATGTTTAAACAGAGAGGGGGAAAAAAAAGCACGATCTTCTCTATTGTGTTTAATTTATTTCTATGTAGCTTATTTCCTTATAAGTTATGAAATTTAAAAGCAAACTCCGTCTTGTGAATAAAAACCGACAAAGAAAGAAAAAGACAAACAAACAAAACAACCCGCCCGCCCGCCCTCTCGGGTGCCGCTTCTGTGCGGGATTTGCCGTCGCTCGGGGGGATTTTCCCGTTCCCCTCCCGCCCGCACGGCCGAAGCGAAGCGCGGTGGCGGCGCCGGGGCCGCGCTCCCTCTTTGGCACCGCCAGATTTATGGTCGGGGGCGGAGAAGGGGGGGACGGGACGCATGGGTTAAAAAAAAAAAAAAAAAAAAGGAAAGAAAGTTTCTCCTTTTTTGGGGGGAAAAAAATTAAAGGAGAGCGGAGGAGCAAGGGGGTTGCAGCCGCCGCAAACGGATTTTGGGCGAAGAAAGGCGGCCCCGAAGCGCCGGGCCGGGGGGCGGCCGGCCCCGAGCTGGGGGTCGCTTGGGAGGCACCACCGCCTTGCGCCCTCCTCCCCAAAGGGACCCGCCGCTTCCCGCCGCCCGCGGGGCTGGATCCGGCTCCGCTCCCGCCGTCCCGGCAGCGCGGCCGGGGCAGGGGCGCCACGGGGCAGCGAGGGCCAAATGCGGCCGGAGGGGCTGTGGGCGCGTGTCCCTTTTCCCTGCCTTTAACTCCCATTTTCCCCCTCTTTGGGAGCAAAGCAGTCCGCACCGCGGTCGCGGGAGCTGCCGGCGCCTCGCGTGGGGGGCAGTTTGCGGCCAGGCAGGGATGAAAACCCGTCAATTTGCCCGTCCGAGGCGGAGGGGCAGAAACCTCTAATAAAATTAAGAAGCGAGCACGGAGAGGAAAGCGACGAGCTGAAGGTGCTGCAAGGAGCCACCAGCTCCGGAGGCACCGACTCGGACACCAAGGCTGCGCGGCGCTCGCTGCCAATATTGACAGAATTTATATCCGCTGCACTTCATCATTATTTCTGTCTGCTATTTATTTTTTATTTCATTATTTTTTAACGCCGGGGTTGAATAGCGTTGGACGGGGCTGGGAGCGGCGGGGGTGCCCGTCGTTCCCCCCTCCAGACCGTCCCCCAACAAAACCAGGCGCCCCATCAAGCGGCCAGCGCGGCCCTCGCTCCCCCCCTTTTCCAGCTCTATTATTTTTAACGACCGAAAAGCGCCCGGGACGGCTCTAAATAAAAAGAGCGATCTGGGGAAGGCTCTGCCCAAAACAGCATTCGCGAGCGGGAGGGCAATTTCGGCATTTTAAACAACGTTTTGCCTTCTTTAAATTATCATTTATTTTTGCGACCGCCCCGGTTTGGAAGGTTTTAAATTATTTAATGCTTTTCTGGATTTTTTTTTCTGAGGGGGAGAAGGGGGAGCCGCTGGCAAAGCGCAGCCCCGGGGGCTGCATTTTCGTGGGGAGCAGCTGCCTCTTCCCCCGCCTCTCCCAGCGCCGTTTTAAAGGAAAAGAAAGGGGAAACCCCCCTCCATGTGCCCCGGGCGCCGCGGAGCGATTTCCCCCCCGCGCCGGGGCCCGTGTCCCCCCCGTGTCCCGTGTCCCCCTCCAGGGGAGCGGGGCTGCAGGGGGAGCCCCGGGCCGGGCCGCGGGAGAAGGAGATAAACAAGCGAGGGGGTTGATAGCTGTCATCATCACCATCATCATGGCTTTCATTTGGCTGCCTAATGAGTCAGATCAGAGGCAGAGAGAAAAATTGTCAATCGCCCCGGCTCTAATGAATTTTTTTGCAAATTGTAATCAAGCCAGGCCGTCTCAGCTCGCTGATTAATGAGACCCAGGAGGCCCGGCCAGCACCTCCGCTTTTTATTCCATCCCGTCCTCCCCGCACTAAATTAACAGCAACTTGTCTGAGCTTCAAATTAACTCCCAATGATTAATTCTGATGGGGGGGTCTGAAGAATAGCTCGGCCTAATAGGCACTGGCCTCTGATGCTGTTGGAAATTAATACACTTCCCCTTTGGCTGCCGGCTTTAATCCAAGGTTGGGTTTTGACATCACTATATTTGTTGTTACAATAAATTCCTCTTGCATCTGCGCATCAAACACCGGCAGCGCTCGGGGTGAGAGCAGCAGCCTGCTCCGCACCAGCCCAAAGGTGTGTGGGGGGGGGACTCCCCACTGTCCCCTCTGGAAAAAAAAAAAAAAAAAAAAAAGAAAAAAATATATTTTTTAGCCTCTTTGCTAGTCCGTCTGTCCAGGTGTGCAGCCCACGCCAGGGTTCTTCCCGTCGCCTTTAAATGAGACATCACTGCTTTTAAATCCCCCCTCGCCTTGGGCACCCCGGGGAGGAGCAGGGCGGGCAGCCTGGGCCTGGCTGCCGAGACCTCGCAAACTCAGTGCACGCCAGACGCCAGCACCACGCGACCCGGCCGGGCCAGCGGGGACCAAGCCCCCTTGCTCGGCCAGGGCAGCGCTGCCTCCCATCTTGCTTCTTGTTTGCACTGGCTTAATTGCTTTAATTATTGCGGCTGTGATTGGCAAGCGGCCGCGGGGGCCTCTTAGCTGCCCCCGGCCCTGGGGATGCTGCAGGGCCCCTTTGTGCCTGGCCAGGGAGGGGGGACCAGGCCCCACTGCCCCCCTCCAGCTCTAAACTCCTCCTGAGCATCTCCCGCTTCCCAGGAGGCCTCTGCATCCCTGCCAGCGTCACTGTCTCCATGGGCGCCTCTTCCCTACGGGAGGCAGCAGGATGGGCTCATGTCCAGCCCTGGCCCCATCTCCCTTCCAGGACCCCACAATGGACACCCTGGAGCCTGGAGGGCGGCGAGCAGCCACAGCCAGCACCCGCAAACACGGGAGAGATGCTGTGCACACCGGAACAATCTGTAGGAACTCGAAATTAAACTACATACAGAAACCCTAACAACTATAAAAAATGGTTAACCCAGCCCCCAAGCCCTGGCATGCTCCCAAGCCGGGTGCTGCCCCTAAATCCCGGGACCCATCCTGCCCCCCCAGTGCCACTGGCTTGCTCTTTTCCCCCCTCTCCCGCTACGCCCGGCCCCTAGAGCTCCTTAATCTATTTATTTCGAGCCACTTCATCCTCCGGGGCGCTTTTGTGCTAGCCCCGGCCTCCAGCTTTGTGGCAGCACCGCAGAGGGGTTTAAAAGCCCCTTTCGCCTATAGTCGGAGGTCTCCGCGGCTGCCTGCATGACAATGCCTGAAACAGGATTACACTGACCTGATCCTATTAAACGCGCCCATCGCGCCGGGCCGCCCTCCCTCCGGCCCCACGGACTCCCTCGCCCCCCTGCCCCGCGCGCCCCCGGCCCTCACACCCGTATGGGAGAGCCCGGAGCTCTTGCCTTTTCCCTGGACCGTGCCTTTCCCTTGCCTTTTCCCGGGGCCAGCTGCGCCAAAATGCCCCTTGGGCACCCAAAAACCCACCCGAGGAGGGGGCTGGCAGGGAGGTGGGTGTAGAGATTTACACATACACTGTTTTTGCCCAAGCTGACATCTGACAGTCTCTAAGAAGTCCCATTTGGGGTGATCAAAATTATGTGTTGTCCACGCGGACCTTTGCTTTCGTATTATCGTTCTGCTCGTGGTCCTTGCAGAAAACAACAATAAAAATGCATCTGATTTGGTCAGCAACAAGCAAAATGCATGTTTTTCCAAAAATACATCCAAGACAGAGCCCTAACACACGGAGAAGCAGATGAGGTGCCTAAAACACCGGGCAGCCCCAAGGAGCTCAGGTTGAAGGGTTGCCCAACACAACCTTGACACTGTTCCCTGGACACACATCAACCGAGACTCCCAAAAGCCGCCAGGACAGCAACAACTCCTCATTTCCAAATGGTCTCTTCATCACCAAGAAGCCACTTGGACTTTTCCGAACATCCTTACATCTGTAGTCTAAGTGTATCCATCAAAACCATTGCCTTCCAAATTAGGCTAATGGTCATTTTTAAGATACACATCTGTATTTTCTTCTGCAGACGCACTGCTCCTAAGCTCACGCCTGCTATTTCCCCCCCTCCCCAATTATTTCCATATTTCAACATTTCCAAAGCGGCAATAAGTTTCCACGGAGGAAGGGTAATAGGAAACCTCTTTGAGAGAAATTGTTAATTTGGGATCTATAAAGGACTTTTCTTAATGAATAATAGTTGAGCTCGATCTGTCTTCCTGCCTTCTTCCGCAGAGCAACATTTGTAAAGTCAGGTGATCCCAATTACTCCCGCTAACAGACTGCAGGAAATCACGTGGAGACCGGGGCATCCCAGCCCTGGGAATGCCCGTGCGGCACCTCGAGCCCCTGGGAAGCAGCCGGGGCCCGGCTTCCCAGCGCT